TTTCTCGTGTGTCATCAGACCAAGTCTGGATAAGTGATGGCAGCAATCTCATCCTGACAAACACGATAGGTGGTGCGTTATATCGTCTGAAAGATATAGATAGTTATTATGGAATACACACATTGAGCAGTGCAGGGGATCTTATTTATATAGACAAGCATCAAAGCATAAAGATATTATCCAAAGAAACCACATTAAAATCTACATTGATAGAGAAAACAAAGCAATGGAAACCACTCTGTGTCTACTGCTCCCCTTCCAATGGAGATCTGCTGGTTGGGATGTGGGATTACAGAAATACAAGCAAGCTGAACCTTTACAATAATAGCGGACAGCACATACAGAAAATAGAGTCCGACTACAAAGGTCAGAAACTTTATACTCTTCCTAAGTCAATTGCAGAGAACAACAATGGAGATGTAATTGTGTCTGACACAGGCTGTGTAGTAGTGACAGACGGTGGAGGAAGACATCGCTTCTCCTACACAGGAACTCCATCAGGATCAACTAGGTATTTGTACAGACGCACAGTCAAACATCCTGGTGTGTGATCATTTCAGTCCGACTCTGCAATTGATTGACAAGAATGGTCACTTTCTGTCACTGATTCACACACGGCAGCAAGACGGGGTATTTTTACAATGCAGCCTGGGTTATGATAACAAAACTCATCTTCTCTGGGTCGGATCATGGAACAACAAAATATGTGTCTACCGAAATATAAACAGAGAGGATTATGTATAAGGTAAAGGAAACATAATTGCTTGTAAAAGACACACAGGACGGCATGATAGGTAAATATTATTAGATAAATAGCAAAGTAAAGATAGCGAACATTTATTCATCACATAAAAAATCTACAAACAATACGGATCTGTGGGATCAGGTGCCTAGGAGGAGAAAGCTTCCTTAGTTTTTGTTGTTGTACACATACAATTTGTTATAGGGGGAGTACAAACTTCTAGTTTATGTATAATTGAACACATACATTTTGTTTTTTGCTTTTGATTTTTTTTCAAGTATCGGTTATCAAGTAGTGATACAACACTATATTGGACTAACACTTATATATTTTAATGAGATCAGGTTAGGAACCCCTCTTTGTACAGATACACTTTGTTTTATGTTGTTACTTTTCAAATATCAGTCATCAATAAATAAGACAGTCCATATATAACACTATATCACAGTTATTTTGATATAACTGTACTGTTGCTAACTAATATTGGAATGTTGGTCAAAAATATTGTGCTGTTTCATAATTATTTATATTGAACTTTGGTATTTTTAGACGGTCATATTCAATGTAATAATGTCACAGTTTTAAGTATATTTTTTAAGGTGTGGATAAAAGAGAACTTCGAGAAGAAGGAGCTCAGAATCTCAAACATTAAGAGGAAGAAGATTAAAACCACATGGGTCTGGCTTACAATGTACAAAAAAATATTAAGGCAAAATAATATACTTTAAATTAACTTTTAAACAGGTTTATTTTTTTTAAATAAAATTTTCAAAAACATAAGTGAAGTTTAATCGCTGGTTGAATTTGTGGTCTGGTCATCATAATTTTTTTTTCTTTCTAATGACACATATTTAAATTTTATTTTCAGGCTGTGACAACCTCCATCAATTTGGAACTGATTTCAATTTCGGATTTTCAAAATAAAGCGTCTTGAAAAATAAAAAAAAATATTACATTTTGAATATGATCGTGAAAAATTATCATGAATTGTATTCTGTATTATTCAATTGATAAAAATATTTGTAAAAAATTTCAATAAATGTGTTTGTTATTTCTTAAAAAATTGTTTTCATCAGATATTAAATGTTCCAGCCAAAAATATGAATGTATATTTTATACATCCCTTTGAATTGAAAAATGCACGTCTTGAGGATGCTTTCATATTTGCATGACACATGATGACTGCACTTTTGAAAGCTTTTATCCTATACATTTGCAAAAAAAAAAATATTCTTATGTAAGAGGGTTGAAATTTAAAAAAAGTCATCATCATGCATGCATAGGGAAAGAAACTGATAACAAACTTTTAAAGCTATTACATATTGGGTGGATTCGAGTTTAGTCCAATCAATAAATATTCGTTTGCATTTGAATAATTGGTTGGGGGAAGGGAAGGAAGCTTTAAAAATAAAAAAAAAAATAAAAAAAAAATAAAAAGATGGACGTTGTTCACAGTTGCTATTTGGCCTTTTAGTACAAGCCTGGTTTAGCCTGGTTAGTAAATTTCATATCTGGCGAGGCGGAGCCGAGTCAGGTATGAAATTTACTAACCAGGTATCATCCCATACCCTGTCACTAAAAGACTATATAACGAATTTACCCCACCGATGAAACATTTACGTTTTATCTGTGGTTTATAAATGATTTTCTCTGCTAAATGCTTCATCCGCTTATACTGTGCCTATTATGACGTCACGTTATGTTTGTTACGTAATACATCGATCGAGTATAGATTTACAACTGACCGGATATAGATTTGCAACTGACCGGGTATAAGTAATCCACCGCCTTCACGTGACAGACTTTAACCAATCGTAAGCCAGGATTTCACGGAAAAATCAACAGAGGTTGGGTAATATTGTATACTATCCAGTTAATATTAGAAATTCTTTTAAATTAATCAACTCTCCAAAACCCTTACCAATCTGTGTGAAGTCAACTTTTTATGGATTAGGCCAATAACTGGGAGTGATTTGTTCAAAAGAAATATATGGAAATAGCAACAACTTCAAGGTATAAAATTCTTTAAACAAAACGAATCAGGCACTGGCCAAACAAAAAACTCTAACACATCAGAGTTGGGTTCAGGTGCCATGCAGAAGTGAGCATCCCTTGTCGACCGGTCACACCCGCAATAAGCTCCTTGACATGGTCAGAAAATTGCCCAGCAATAGGTATGCAAAATGAAAGTCAGTATTTGAATTAAACATAGATTGTAATTACTGACACGGTCATTTAATCGATCATATAACTTACAAAATACTGACTACTTATATTTTTGCACACAACTTGTTTGTCAAGAACATCGTTTTAGAAATTGTTCATAAATAGAGCATGCTCTTGCGTATCGAATCAACTGAGTTATGTCTGAGAGATATTTATTCCCACTATTTGTTGTTCAATCCTTTCTATTGAAGTTTGAACCGTGCCGAATTCGGATAAAACCAAAGCAAAATTTGTATGGGCTAGACTTGGTGCGATGGTATAATTTTACTTGTATATAATGAATTACTTTTTACTCACATAATCGAATGAAGTGAAAAGAACAGTAATAATGCCAAAAGTCCGATCAAACGATACAAATAATGGATGGACTTAATACCCTATTTTTGGATCTTTTTGCGATTACTCTACTAAACTATAAATGAAGTCAATCCAAAATATATTACAAGCAATAAAAAGAACAAGGCATACAGGTTTATTTTAGGTAGAGCATTTGCACAAAAGCAATGCCTTGTTGTCATGAGTGAACATTGAAGCACCGATAGATTTGTGTAGTCTTCGATTTTTGACATGTATCCGGAGTAGTTTTTAGGGCACGGAATGAATAATAATAGGAGGCGGGTCTATCGGTCAGCGTATTTGTTGACATTTCTCTCCTTCTCTCTCTCTCTCTCTCTTTAGAAATTCGAACACGTGTTTGGCATATTATATTATATGTATGTCACTATGATTTTTTTACATGCGTGAATAGGCAAAGTTAAAAAAAGAAATTAATTTGCCAAATTCTGAAAACGGCAACCAAACATAGTGATTTACATTGAGGTCAGGTTGAAGAATACCATTTTCACGAGTACACTAGCAGGTGAACATCACGTGTTGAATTGAAATATTTAATAAGTCAATCAAAGTGATAACAATATAAGCGAGAAGTTTGATTTGAACGTATTTTGGTAAATTAAGTTTGTCGGCCCTTCTTTTAATATGAAATTATTTTGTTCAATATACAACCACAGTTGTGTTAAGAACAGTCGACAAAGGTGGGCCGACTATGTATTCAAACGATAAAAAACGCGTGACCCTGAGTATCTGTTGATATTCAAGAAATCGCCATACACCATGTCTTCGACGTTTGTTAAGTTTACCTCTAAACGAGCGCTTTCATACAGTTTACTTCAAAAAGAGAGTTTTGAAATTTACATCTGTACTTTTGATACATGGTTAAGATATAGGGGGTTTATATCATGATTTTATGAAACTTCAATTTACAAATTTTTTTCTAGCCAGTTAAGTCCACACAGGCTTTTGAGCAAATGAAACTCGATTTCTGGAATTCAAAGGTGGGATCAGGTGCCATGGAGGAATGAGCATTCTCTGCCGACTGGTCACACCTGTTTTGTGGTTTGTTATGATCGCGTAAGGAGAAAAACGTATATAATTCAATGTGAAAATAATGGCCTAACTAACAATTTGTATGAAAGTGATCAGTTAACGTTAGCCTGAACAGTAAATTATAGTTGCAAATGAGCTTTCTTTATTGATCATAGAATTTGCAAAATTTTTACTTTAAAGGAGATTCTTGATCCTTGTATATGTATCTTGATATCTTTAAATCATCGGCTTATTTGTAGATATCCAGCCTCTCTTTAGAAATAGATCCGCAAAACTTGCTTCTGCATATTCAATGAACTTGAAGACATAAATACCTTTTTTATTTTATATATTCTTTCATCTAATGATTCAATGTTCCATAATAAATATAATGAGTACCGGTATCTTTTTTGTCTTATAGACTGTGGCATTGTTCAACTCTCATAAACAGTACAATAAAAAAAATTGCAGATAGGGCATTTGTTTGAAGACCGTACCAATTGATAAATTTATAATGCACTGTTTTTGAACGTATGTTTAGTGGATGAATATCAAACATAAGAAATAAATTTTAAAAAGTCTTTTTTTTAGATTAAGTTATGAAACAAAAAATATCCTGCAATAATCTAGAGATAAATATAAGGCTCAACAGGATACAAATATGTCATCTTTGAAAACCAGATAAAGAAAATGCACTGGAAGGTCTTTCATAAGTGCGTGCTTTCATTTTCTTAAAGCCATATCATTTGGTCTTTTTTTTCTTAAAACAGTGAGTAATTTTCAGCCAAGTCGTGGTTTATGGTGACATGTTTTGAATTCTACAGCCTTAGATTTCATTTTCTCACGATAAATTCTCGGTAAACAGACACACTTCTCGTTCTCCTCTGGTCTGTACCTGTCACTCCTGAAGTATCTCCCCAGAATCATTAAATTTCGACTCTCAAACAACGCCTCCATCTTGCTTGTAATGCTACCATGTTGTAAGAATGTCCACAGAGTCGCGAATTCTACGTCATCAGAGGCAAAGGTCACGTGACGTTCGGAACACTTGAGAGTTGATAATGCCTTGCACTTTTTCCTGAATTCCTGGGGCGTCCTTGTATGTATTGTCGTGTTATGGAATCGCTGATAAATATCGTTGATTACGGACAGACCTTTAAGGGCCTTCCAGCGAAGCATTGAGTTTTTACTTAAGAGGACGCCGTAGTGAAGACTTCTTGTGATGGCTGTTTCTGTGGTGTGACAGAAAGGATCTAAAGATATATAAGAATAAATTACTTGATATATCATATAGATGTATCCCTTTGATGAGGTCGATCCATAGATATATCAATTTTGGCTGTTGAGTGAAATTATTTTTCCTTTATGTTGATAGAGTAATGTAGGGAATTTGATTTAAAAAGCTACATTTGCTTTTTTATTTTTGAAAAGATCTCTATATTTTAATATACCGTATAAGTGGAAATTTTAGCGAGACGCAAATTTAGCGATTTCTTCTTGAAAAATGGCAATTTATTTTTAGCGAGAGGTAATTTTAGCGATTTTAAAATGCTTATTAAAGAAGCTTTTGCAAATAAAATGCAATTAATTTTTAGCGATATTAAATTTTAGCGATCTCAGGTCCCTCGCTAATAATGCCAAAATTAAATCCTCGCTAAAAATTCTACTTATACGGTAAAGTAGATCCTTATTCAATGCACTGTTTAAAGTCATCATTTTGTAAGTTCTATGGTTGACACAATGACCTTGTTAGCAAATACAGTTTATCATTGAGTCAAATGCTGACTAGCGTTTTTCATACCAATTGTTAGTCCATTATTTATACACTGAATTGACGACGGATTTTTTTCCGTTATTTCCTGATCATTATAAGGAGCACACGGCGGGTGTGACCGGTCGGCAGGGGATGCTCACTCCTCCAATGCACGCTCTGCTTTAATTTTGTATTGTTTTATGGACTTTGAGATTGAATACTGTTCGTTATATCCATATCCTTCATCAATTACTGTATTACATAATTATAAATAGGATTTTAGGTTTATCTTTTTTTTTTCAGAAATATCAAGTCATACACTGCATCAACTATTGCTTACAGAAAAAAAAAATATTTCCATATTTAGAAACATCAAGTCTATCTGTATTTCAAAATTTATATATAGTAACACAAGCCTTTGTGTTGTAATATACTTGATCATGTGATCAAGTTTGGGGCAATCAGAGAGCTTGGTAATAATAAAAAGATAATAAAAGTGTTTTATTATCTTAAAAATATCAAACTATCATTAAAATATAAAATATAAAAGGAATAAATTGCGTAAAAACAATATTCATGAATTACAACAGAAACCCCTCCGAAATTATGTTGCCAATATTCAGAAAATTGACGCTAAATACGAATTCAAAAGAAAAAAAAAAACAAAGAAGAAATAAATTGAAATTTGAATTAATTTATTTCAAAAGAGTTTAACAGTATATCTTGTTTTTCACATGTAAACAGTTTTATATAACAAAGAGGTTATTAAGATGCATCTGATTATGCATGTAACATATGTGTAAGGAAGTAAATAATCTAGTCTTATCTTACATTTAAACGTCTAAGTTGTGTTTACTAATTATGTGAAATGCTGTGATAAATAAGGATGGAAGACCGACAAACCTTTATTGATGTGTCCTGTTGTTTTAACTGTACTTATGATTAGGTCATACTTGACGTAGTTTCGACTGCACCAATTTGTTGAAAGGTGGGGTTGATGTGTCAGCCATGATCGAACTTCTTGTTAATTCTGTCCTTATTTGGAATGCGGGTCCAACTAATTTGATTGGAAAAAATTCTGAAATGAAGGGAAAATGAACACTAAGCGAACACAGCAATTAGATATTAACATTATTTGAACAAATTGTATTGTTATATATGACGTCATAACATTCAAACCACTACAAGAAGGATGTGGAGATAACGAATAGTATTCAAGCTTTGTACCAACCAAGTACAGTAAGTTCTCTCCATCGTACTTCTGGACTTCAATATACACTGATAGGTGGCGCTGTCATTGACTGTGATATCACGGACCGGATAATGAATGAGACGACGTTTGGAAGATCCAGAAAGATGTGAAATTTCGGGTTGTTTGTTCCTATTTTCTGTCCGTTTCTTTCCCACCTTATCAAATCAATATCATCAATAGTTAAGGTCACGTTATTTTCATACTGACGTACTCTCACAACTGAAAGTAACGAGTAAAACATTTACAAACGCTATATATATATAGAAACATTTTCATTATCTTGCCAGTTAATATACCGTTCACGGTAGGTCAGTTGGTATAGTGCTGGTACCGGAATTGGGAGGTCTTAAGTTCGAATTTCGGCTGCGACTGACCTAGATGTAAAACAAATAGTTAACCACTGTTCCTTCGCCTCGCGTTAGGCGCTTTGAAGTTAAAATTGCTGGTCCTTTAATATTTGGGTGATACTTTAAAAACCGAGGCCCTGTATTACGACAGGCGTTGGTAAGACAAAGATCTCTCCTTGCATAATTGTCCTGAGTGCTGGTTAAGGTTCAAAATTTAAAGTCCTTCAGCAGTATATGCTGTCCTCTCTATATGAGTGAAAAATTATCAAATGGGACGTAAAACAACATAAAATCAATCAATTACTTGATTATGTTTATCACAACGTTGCCTAAATATAAACAAAATCTGACAAATTATGATATTGAGTCTCCCTACGGTGTATATTAACGATTCACTGGTAAAGAAGTCCACAAAAGAGAGTAGATATCTGATTTTCATCTGAAATTAGTTATATGAATATTGACGTACGATTTCTAGTCAACTTTTTTAACTAAAGATAATAGGTTTTCATTTCTAACATTTCAAACATTTAGGGGTATTTTAAAACACGATGTGGAATATCTGCAAACAACTTGTGATATGATCTTTGACATTCTCTAAGATATTCTTATGATAAAGTTGGGTTTATTCTACTTATGTATTAATTTTCTATATCCCATTGCATTGATGTTCCTTCTTTAAACCGATGATCTTTTGTTAATTATAATTAAATAGCAGAGATCTGCTTAATAAAGTTATTGTTATTATGAAAAACAACGACATGTGGTTCAAACGTAAATAAACAGCAAAGCATGGTGATTTGAATACATTTTAAAATTTTACTAATGGTTCAGGAAGAATAAATTTGCAATGCATTCTGGAAAAATAATTAAGATTCATTTCCATTTTTTAAAAGGAATTCATAAAAATAAATAGCTCCCATAAGAATTCACTGGTTTTCTTTTTACTACGTCTATCGGCTTGTCTGGCTGTAATTCTGTCAGTCCACATATTTTCCGTATTCTGAATAGATATTCTAATGATTATCCCATCAGATTCATATTTTATGCCAAAATCAATACGTTTTATTAATCGGGTGAGACATAGGTATATATAAAATGCCATTTTTATATAAGAGAACTTTTTTCTACTGTATGCAGTGAATCCCCAGGGATTAAATGTGTAACCTTGTTCAGAAGAACCTGAGCCTAATTAATTGATGTAAAAATCACAATTATATATTTAAGAAAGTTTATGCATCGTTTTTATTATTAAAGTAAAAATTAATGATGGAGCAACATGAAATAGTAGCGCATTGTGTTTTACTTCTGAACAATACACAGAGCAGCTTCACTCATTAAACAATTAGACTACCTTCCTTGTGATTTAAGTGTGCTGTTGTTCTAAATTATTACATCCACAACTATAGCGGTATCACACGATATCAATGTGATTTGATATCGTGAATATTTCCACAAATACTTTTTTATAAATGTTATTTAAAAAACTTTTAAAAGTATTTTTACTCATATAAATTTATAAGAACCTTATTAAAGATAACTCAAACCCGTAGAAGTAGATACCGATTTAAGTTTACTAATTGAAAGGGCTGCCCAAATTCAACTTTTTTTTCAATTGATTTTGTTTACACACTGGTGGCTCTAAACTATATTGTAAATGACATCTGTCACCTCCTTCACAGGTTTGGATACTAAAGAGAATACACTTACCGTATTTTGGTAATACAGGTAGTCTTTCGTAGACCTCCCCATTACTTCCTCGTCTGGACTGTAGGCAGAACATCTCAATCAATTGATTGGGATCATTCATTATATTGAAGAGGAGTAATAGTAAAGGGTGAACAGTGATGTCAATCACAGGAAAACAATCTTAATCCATAGACTGAACTCATTAGAATGAACAGGAGCAATTGTAAATAGCGATCCCAACCACAGGAAAACATGTTTCCAGATATCCTGCTTTGTCAATGGATACCTCAATTCGTCAAACAGCGCGTCAATGTAATTGTTTTACACATTGATACAATGAAAACATTATCTAATCATGTGGGATATATTCGTTAAAATTAAAGGAGGTCATTTTGGGGCAATCTGTGTTATTTTGTTATATTGACGTAAGAGATGAAAACACAGATATATAATTTGAAAATCAATGTTTTCATTACAAAGTGAAATCATTTTTCAATAAAATTATTTTCTCCAAACTGCATTTTAAGCTGTTTTCTTCTTATAATTATACATTAACGTATCTAAGGATTTTGGGAACAATTTCGTGCTAGGGCGTAAACATGTACTAGCTGCAGAAACATGGCATAATGCTGGAGTAAAGCACCTAATAACGGCCTCAAAAGTAAATAGTCTTTCAAATTTATATATCATGTTAGCACATTTTCAAATTTCCCTTTTGCAGCCCTTTCCAGCGAGTATGTTAACCCTTTAACTACCCGAAATTTTGCGTTTTTACAGCAAAATCCACTAAAAACTTTTGAATAAATATTTCGACATTTTCTTGTCACCTTTACATAAAGCAACCTACATATTTTCTGAAAGGTAAAATTATAAACTTTTTGATTACGTAACGTAAAATGACGCTGAGTTAATTTAATATAACTGTACTGTTGCTCAATAATAGTGGACTGTTGATCAATAATATTCTGCTGTTTCATAATTATTTATAATGAACTTTGGTATTATTGGACGGTCATATTCAATGTAATAATGTCACAGTTTTAAGTATATTTTTTAAGGTGTGGATAAAAGAGAACTTCGAGAAGAAGGAGCTCAGAATCTCAAACATAAAGAGGAAGAAGATTAAAACCACAAGGGTCTGGCTTACAATGTACAAAAAAATATTAAGGCAAAATAACATACTCTATATTAACTTTTAAACAGGTTTATTTTTTTTAAATAGAATTTTCAAAAACTTAAGTGAAGTTTATTCGGGTCTAATCGCTGGTTGAATTTGTGGTCTGGTCATCATAATTTTTTTTTCTTTCTAATGACACATATTTCAATTTTATTTTCAGGCTGTGCCAAACCCAATCAATTTGGAACTGATTTCAATTTCGGATTTTCAAAATAAAGTGTCTTGAAAAATAAGAAAATATTACATTTTGAATATGATCATGAAAAATTGTAAACAGGTAAATAAATTATGAATTGTATTCTGTATTATTCAATTGATAAAAAATATTTGTAAAAAAAAAAATCAATAACTGTGTTTGTTATTTCCTTAAAAATGTTTTCATCAGATATTGAATATTCCAGCCAGAAATATGAATGTATATTTTATACACCCCTTTACATTGAAAAAAATCACCTTTTGAGGATGATTTCATATTTGCATGACACATCCTGACTGCACTTTTGAAAGCTTTTATCCTAAACATTTGCAAAGAAATATCCTAATGTAAGAGGGTTGAAATTTAAAAAGTCATCATCGTACATGCATAGGGAAAGAAAGTGATAACAAACTTTTAAAGATTTTACATGTTTTGTGGATTCAAGTTTAGTTCAATCAAAAACTATCCGTTTGTATTTGAATGGGGCAAAATTAAAGAAATGATTGGGGGAAGGAAAGGGAGCTTAAAAAAATGGACGTTGTTCACAGTTGCTATTTGGCCTTTTTTGTAAGTTATTATTTTTCCGAATTGGATCCTTGCTTTATTGTATACTATTCAGTTAATATTGGAAATTCTTTTGAATTAATCTACTCTCCAAAACCCTTACCAATCTGTGTGAAGTCAACTTTATATGGACTAGGATTAAGGATGGATTCTTCTCATATTTCTTATAATTGCAGAATCTTAATTTTCTGAATACTCATTATTCAGACTGTGTTTGATATTTTAACATCCAAACACTTTGGTGAAGTTTGCCTTGATTTTCAGTCAAGGTCATTTGAATGTCAGTCCTAAAAATAGTACTTTTACACAGAGAAGTTTTGAAATTTTGGCTTATGATTAAATTTTGCTGAAAGAAAAAATATCTTGCTGAATAAAATTAAAGTTGTAGCTCATTATTGATCACTAACTTACATGAATTGAGCTAGTCGAAAGAAAACATGAAATCCTCGTTATTCAACAAATATATTTAATCCGAATTTCCTCAAATTTTTTTTTAAAAAATCTGAATTTTCATGAATTTACATTGAATTTCATCTCAATTTTTACAATTGACCATATAATGTCAAATATTTAGATTTCTCTCTGTTGATTCATCAAAGGTTCAAGATTATTTTACAAGGTAAAAATGATAAGGTAATCGGACTAATTATTGAAAAAAAAAATAATCCGAACTTTCTCTAAATTTTCTAAAAAAAATCATAAATGTACAAAATATTTATAATTTCCTCCCAAAATAAATAACCACATAAAGATAACAAATCAGGGTTATAAATGAAGACACACATACCTTTATTTACAATACTTACATAAATATTTATTTCACAGGTATTTACACAACTGATATTGAAATATTTATTCCGAGTTTCTTCTGTACTATTTAAAAAGTGATATTTTAGTCTTTGACAATCATTCTTTTTCATATAATATTTTTACTTAAATCATATATTCAGAAATAAATATTATTACAACCATAGGAAAGATAGATGTTGAATGAATCATTTACAGCACAGAAATGAAGGGGTATTCATTTTTATTAAATTGCCAGGTTAACTCGAATTTCCTCATTTTTAAAATTATCATTGGACAAAGAAAATGATGTCAATATATCATATAGGCTAACAACTTAAGAGACAGGACAGGCGGTTAGATAATACATTTTCTCTGAAATGTGATATGATGTATTATTGTGAAAATAATAGTTGAAATTATTGCCATGTTTCCAAAAAACTTAAAAAAAATTCCAGTCCGAATTTCCTCTGTTATAAATATACTGGTTTCATTATTTACAAAAAAGTAAAAGTTCTCAATCGAAATACATGCATATTTTGCAGAGTAAAACCAAAACTTTATGTTATATTATGGAATCTTTATATGTATTGTACATATACTAATATATGACATGTATGTATATACCTGAGGAGTATAGTGTTTGTACATGTTATATATAAATATTTATCGGTGCAAACACAATTACATTAATTATCAAAGGCGCAACATACTAGTATAAGAATCAGCAATTGTTCATACAATTTTATACAATATACTGTATCTAGATTTTGAGGCTATGCATAAATCATATAAAAATATAATTTACACAATAATTATATATATTACAAAGATTTCTAAAGATATGATATTCTTTAATAAATAATAGTTATTTTCAGTATTTAGGGACACTGACTATCAAAGGTATATGAGACAGATTTGATACTTTTCCTTGAAAAAATACATCAACTTCCTTTCAAAAGTTAACTTATAATTATTGTATTTTTGGCAGCTAAATGGAGAATAATATACATCATAAATCTCTCCTTTGTTACAAATAATTTACAAAATCTTTCATTAGGGAGTGTATTTAGGCAAATCCCTCGATCCGCTTTTCTGTGGCAAGGTTATGTGCACTAAGTCTCAAGCTGTTAATGATTGGTCTCTCTGTTCTTTTTTTTTTTTTTGGTATTTCAGTGTAATCCACAGCATCTGAAATCATCAAAAACAACAGTAACTTGATAAAATTTTAGTTTGGTGAATTATGAACCTTTCCCCTTTTGAATATAGATCTAATATTATTTGTTTAAATGCTTCTCAGAAATGATTTTTCATGAATTTGAGGAAAAATCTTACTTGCTGAAAATTGAGAAAATCTTTTTAGTTCGTTACTCATTTGATGAGAAAATTTCTTGCATCTGTCCATGCACCTGCTGAGAGTCCAATTTTTTTTTTTACCTACAATTACAAAAAAGTATTAAATATATGTTACTTAGCAGTACAAATGCTGCTTTACATGTTACAGTGTATTATACTTTCATGTTAATAACTAAAATCTTATTAGTTTAGATGCTTTTAACAATCCTTATTGTTTTACCTTTAAAAATCTGTTTCTATACAAATCTATATGAAAACAAGAGGCCTATCGTCCACATCGCTCACCTGAGCACTGTGGCTAGCAGAAAAGCAGAAATTAGTTTATTATTGGAAAGTTTAAACCCTAAAGTAGTCCCATTCATTCCTTATAGGTGAGAGGGTATGATTTGCACAAACTTGAATCTACACTACCTGATGATGATTCCACATGAGTTTCATCTTTCATAGCCCAGTGGTTCTTGAGAAGAAGATTTTTTAAAAATGACATTAATTTTTTACTAATTCATAATTATCTCCCCTTTGAAGAGGGCTTGGCCCCTCATTTGAAAAAAAAAAACTTGAATGCCCTTTACCCAAGGATACTTTGTGGCAAGTTTGGTTGAAATTGGCCCTGTGATTCTTGAGAAGAAGATGAAAATGTGAAAAGTTAACAACAATGACAACAACGACAGACGACAAATAAATTTTGATCAGAAAAGCTCACTTGAGCTTTCGGCTCAGGTGAGCTAAAAAGTCCAACATTTTTAATGTTTTGCCGAGCGGGCATAAAACAATTGATGTTTAACCACTTATGAGATGTTGGACCGGTTGATGAGATGTTGGACAGCTTATATGTGCATCACACAATTGGTGGAGCTTAATCTAATTTGCATGTGTTGATGTTTAGCAGTGATGGACGTGAAGTTCAAGACAATACAAGATACATGTACATCAAAATAAATATTAAAATGAAAGGTATCACAAAACATTTATTGACTGTATTCAGGAGCAAATACATTTTGTCGATTCTCAAACCAAACTGTCTGCCTTTGGCCTATCTGCCTCAGGCAGACAGTTTGGTTCTTGGGTCTGATAAAACGCATGTTGCCCTTAAACTGTCAATTATATTTCAAATTGACACCCCTTGTGTCAGTTGACATTGGTTTCCCTCGGGGTGTCAATTTTGATTGTTGCCCTCAAAAACATGCACTATTTATTTAACAGTTAGATACAGTTGTGTTCATATTTCTTATAATGATGTACCTGAGTAGTCCATCTGCAAGCAAATTTTGTTCAATCATCCTGCCTAAGTCTGGCCTTTAGTCTTTTTTTCAACTACTGGTACATGTAGTCTACTCCTGGGTAAATTAAGTACTGTAGGGTTGTTTCTTCCTAAGAATTAAACATAAACAGTTCTAATAGACTATTGTTTTTAAGTTATAAGATTAAACAATAAATATCATCTGTATTTCATTTATTGATTTATAAATAAATGAATGAAGTTTTTTAACAAATATATTTTAATCATTTTATATTCCATATTGTATAATGTAACAGTGTATAATGTCTTAAAAAATTTGAACTATTAAAAAAAAACATTTTAAACCTAAAAATAGAAAAAAGAAAAAATACAATTATACAAATAATTTCTGAACAATTGTTTCTCATTTTGCTTTATAAATTAGACAACTGTTTGTTTCAATGTTATTGATATTTCCACAATATCCTATTTTTCTCATTTTGAATTGTATCGGCAAGGGTCCTAAATCGGTGGGGTTCCTAAATCGGTGGTATTTCCTGTTGGGCACGCGCGTTTTCTTAACGTGCGAGATCTGACATCATCGATTTTTGCGTAGTGTTTGTAAACACAGAAGCTTACGACTCGGTGAAAAAAAAAACGAAATGTAAGAAAAAAGTGTACGTAAATGGCTGATATTGTCATATCAACAATAAATACCATATTTTCTTAATGCTAAAAATATCTAAATGTAATTGACTTCTAAATATAGATTTAAAAGAAATAATTAATCGAAATACATACTGTAGATCCAGCTTACCGTCTGCGCTTTCAAGTCACGTGACTGTCATGTGGCTAGCAAAATTAAATAGAAATACAGAGGATGTCCAAAAGTTAGTGTCTGTTATATGTTTTTGATACGGGGGGTATATTTTTATAAATCTTGTTGGTAAATTGTTAGTAAACAAACTAGAAAACTGACCAGTCAGCAAGGGCCCCGCCATGGGGTAAAATTATAAGGGTGCAGCTTATGGAATGATTCAAAAATATATGACAAACAAGAAACAGCAACTGTATTCTTAAAATTTCAAGATAATTCCTGAATATCCAAAAACCTGTAAATAATATCCTTGTATTTACATAAGGCAGTAAAGAACAACTCAACACTGAATGTATATTTAAACAATAATGAAGCTTGTGTTATATAAAATGCCAGCCTTCAATGAATGCAAATATATATCATAAAGGCTTGACCTTAACTTCAAAACAAACAGCAGTTGCAGACAAAGGTTTTCATTAATCTTAAAGTGACAGATAAAGATAAGTCTTCTAAATTTTCTGCAGCAGACTAGATAATTAATCTCAAGGGATTAACTGTACTTCTTCCTCATCATTTTCTTCTTAGTTTATAATAAGAACTTTTTCAGTATTAATGATAGAATGAGGTGTTTATCCTACTACCTTGAAAATCAATATTATTCTTGAATTTTCATGAAGCAAGAAAAAACCATAAATAAATAAAAATATATCTTCTTTAATCTATTTCCTTGTTTTAAGAATTCAATGAAGTCAGAACTCATTGTGTAGGGTATTTCAACAAAAATAAAGTAAAAACATTTATACTTCGATCCACTTAAATGGACTTAACTTCAAAACAACCTTCATTTGCAGACAAAGTTGGTAATTCATCTCAATGTGACAGATAAAGATAATGCTTTGGATTTTCTTTAGGAGGAAAGCTAATCCCAAGGGACTCATATGGCAGCACTCAGTTTACAATGGGAACATTTTCAGAAGTTATATCTCTTTGCCAATTCATTCTTATATAAAGTGAAGGAATCTACCCCACCACCCAGCTCCAAACCAGAGGACATAGAGAAACAAACTTAGCATAAAAATATGTCTTTTTGCCTACTGAACTACCATACCAAATTTGAACTTAATTAGACAACCATAAAAAAGTTATTAGGAAAAAACAGAAAATTTGTGGACGGAAGAATGACAGACGGACGGACAGACAGACAGATTGATTACTATAGGGCACCCGCAAATCCTTGCGGGGCCATAATAAATAGAAGTTAGTTCAGAAATCTAAAGAAAGCTATTAAAAGTTTACATAGTTTCATGTTGGTATAATAAATAAATACAAAAAATGAACAAAAAAAAAATTAATAAGTTTTTTTTGTGAAGTGGGCTCAGTGTAGCTTTGAAAATTGTAACCACTGGATCCACTTGCAGTTTTGCTGCACCACGAAAGTTATAAGAAGTGGTGATGAATTTATTTATGTCCCTGTCACAATAATAATAATAAAATTGTTGTTTATCGCTTTGTTCATATATACGATTTAATATTCGTTGTTCATAAATTTATGCCCGTGGTTCATGTTATTAGGGGTGAAAACTTTTGACAAGTACCATACCACCGATTTAGGTACTTCAACAGTTCTGCTTACGTAGACAACAAGAAAAAAAGAAATCGCAAGAAAAACAAATTCTAGATTTTTTTATTAGCTAATATAGATATAATTTGATTAAATAAAGAGTCCTTCGGAGATTAGTCAAATTTGTTTTATTTTAATCTTTCCCGTCAAGATTATTTTATTACGTAGTTTGCTAATACCACCGAAATACTTTGCTAAAAACTTGATGATTGTTGTGTCTTTAACAAATAAGGCTAGTTAGTGATATAACTTGTTGTAATCACAAAAAATTTCTATTTTTGTGAATAATTATTATTCATAAAACTGACAAACACACGAAAATGATGAATTTCAATCCTCAAATGTTGACCAGTCGCGGGGACATTCAAGAAGCATAAGAAATACATCGATCTATAATATCCTTGCGAATTCCCATTTATCAATAAAAACCATGTACTTCAATTTCAAAATTATAAATTAAATAGTCAGACTTACATAACTAACTTACATGTACAATCTCACTGCACAGTGACACGACATGACATCAGGCGATCGAGGCAACGTGGGTCTGCAACCTCGCATGTTTGTGACCTTCAAGTTTCCTTTGGCCGATCAGGTGACTCGAGCATAAAGAAATCGGTGATTTAAAATTGTTTTGATTTAATTATCCCTGGGATTCTACAATGCTTCAATAATGTTCACAGCTTGTAGATTTTACAAAACAGTTGAAAACAATCCTCTCGGTGTTTACCTGGACATGTTGACATTCGCTACGGAACTGCGCATTTTATGGCAATTGTCGTAAATCAAAGAAAAATTACGAACAACTTATATTTTTTAATAGAAATAGATTCAACAATACATAAACTGATAAATTAAACATAGTTTTTCATTCAGTTTGATTGAATATGTAATTTGCATTTTACGACTTGCAAAATCTATGGCGACCCATTGACGACGTAAAATGCTGACAAGAATCCATCCTTAAGCCAATAACTGGGAGTGATTTGTTCAAAAGAAATATATGGAAATAGCAACAACTTCGAGGTATAAATTCTTTAAACAAAACAAATCAGGCACTGAGAAAACCATCAGAGCTGGGTTCAGGTGCAATGCAGAAGGGAGCATTCCTTGTCGACCGGTCAGAAAATTGCCCAGCAATTGGTATGCAAAATGAAAGTCAGTATTTGAATTAAACATAAATTGTAATTACTGACAAGGTCATTTAATCGATCATAGAACTTACAATATACTGACTGTTTATATTTTTGCACACATGTGTGTCAAGAACTTACCTCGTTTTAGAAATTGTTCATAAAAAGAGCATGCTTTTGCGTATCGAATCAACTGAGTTATGTCTGAGATATATTTATTCCCACTATTTGTTGTTCAACCCTTTCTATTGACGTTTGAACCGCGCAGAATTTGGATAAAATCAAAGCCAAATTAACTATATGGGCTAAACTTGGTGCGATAGTGTAATCTCATTAGTATGTAATGACTTACTTTTTACTCACATAATTAAAGAAAGTGAAAAAAAAAAAAAACAGTAATAATGCCAAAAGTCCAATCAAACGATACAAGGAATGGATGGACTTAATACCCTATTTTTGGATCTTTTTGCGATTACTCTACTAAACTATAAATGAAGTCAATCCAAAATATATTACAAGCAATAAAAAGAACAAGGCATACAGGGTTATTTTAGGTAGAGCATTTGCACAAAAGCAATGCCTTGTTGTCATCAGTTAACATTGAAGCACCGGTACATTTGTGTAGTCTTCGATTTTTGACATGTATCCGGAGTAGTTTTAGGTCACGGAATGAATAATATTAGGAGGTGGGTCTATCGGTCAGGTATTTGTTGACATTTCTCTCCTCTCTCTCTCTCTAGAAATTCGAACAAGTGTTAGGCATATTATATTATATGTATGTCACTTTGATTTTTTTTACATGCGTGAATAGGCAAAGTTAAAAAAAGAAATTAATTTGGCAAATTCTGAAAACGGCCACCAAACATAATGATTTACATTGAGGTCAGGTTGAAGAATATCATTTTCACGAGTACACTAGCAGGTTAGACGTCACGTGTTGAATTGAAATATTTATAAAGTCAATCAAAGTGATAACAATATCAGCGAGAAGTTTGATTTGAACGTGTTTTTGTTAAATTAAGTTTGTTGGCCCTTCTCCTTTTAATATGGCATTATTTTGTTCAATATACAACTACAGTTTTGTTCAGAACATTCGACAAAGGTGGGCTGACTATGTATTCAAACGATAAAAAACGCGTGACCCTGAGTATCTGTTGATATTCAAGAAATCGCCATACACCATGTCTTCGACGTTTGTTAAGTTTACCTCTAAACGAGCGCTTTTATGTGGTTTACTTCAAAAAGAGAGTTTTAAATTTACATCTGTATTTTTGATACATGGTTAAGATATTGGGGTTTATATAATGATTTTATGAAACTTCAATTTACAATTTTTTTCTAGCCAGTTAAGTCCACACAAGGTTTTGAGCAAATCAAACTCGATTTCTGGAATTCAAAGGTGGGATCAGGTGCCATGGAGGAGCGAACATTCTCTGCCGACTGGCCACACCTGTTTCGTGGTTTGTTATGATCGCGTAAGAAAAAAAAACGTATTATGATTAAATGTGAAAATTATGACCTAACTAACAATTTGTATGAAAGAGATCAGTTAATGTTAACCTTAACAGTAAATTATAGTTGCAAATGAGCTTTCTTTATTGATCATAGAATTTGCAAAATTTTTACTTTAAAGGAGATTCTTGATCCTTGTATATGTATCTTGATATCTTTATATCATCGGCTTATTTGCAGATATCCAGTCTCTCTTTAGAAATAGATCTGCAAAACTTGCTTTTGCATATTCAATGAACTTGAAGACATAAATACCTTTTTTATTTTATATATACATACATCTAATGATTCAATGTTTCATAATAAACATAATGAGTATCTTTTTTGTATAATAGACTGTAGCATTGTTCAACTCTCATAAACAGTACAATAAAAAAATTGCAGATAGGGCATTTGTTTGAAGACCAATTGATAAATTTATAATGCACTGTTTTTGAACTTATGTGTAGTAGATGAATATCAAACATGAGAAATAAATAAAAAAATTCTATTTTTAGTTTAAGTTATGAAACAAAAAATATCCTGCAATAATCTAGATGTAAATATATGGCTCAACAGGATACAAATATGTGGTCTTTGAAAACAAGATGAAGAAAATGCACTGAAAGGTCTTTCATAAGTGCGTGCTTTCATTTTCTTAAAGCCATTTGGTCTTTTTTCTTAAAACAGAGAGTAATTTTCAGCCAAGTCGTGGTTTATTGTGACATGTTCTGAATTCTACAGCTTTAGATTTCAGTGTTTCACGATAAATCCTCGGTAAACAGACACACTTCTCGTTCTCCTCCGGGGTATACCTGTCGCTCCTGAAGTATCTCCTCACAATCATTAAATTTCTACTCTCAAACAACGCCTCCATCTTGCTTGTAATGCTACCATGCTGTAAGAATGTCCAAAGAGTTGCGAACTCTACGTCATCAGAGGCAAAAGTCACGTGACGTTCGGAACACTTGAGTGTTGATAATGCCTTGCACTTTTTCCGGAATTCCTGGGGCGTCCTTGTATGTATTGTCGTGTTATGGAATCGCTGATAAATATCGTTGATTACGGACATACCTTTAAGGGCCTTCCAGCGAAGCCTGGAGTTCTTACTTAAGAGGACGCCGTAGTGTAGAGTTCTGGTGATGGCTGTTTCTGTGGTCTGACAGAGAGGATCTAAAGATATATCAAAAGAAAGTACTGGGTATAAATTATATTATCATTGTTTAAAAAACATCAAATAATCCTTAAAAACAGAGTTAATATTGAGCTTATTTATCTAATTTTCACTGTATGGTGCATGGTATTTACCCGCAGGAAAAATGTTCAAAGACAACACAGTATCATTGAAAAGAAATCACTGTTATTCACTTCAGTAGAGAAAATAAATGTAAATAACACGTTCAGTTAATTTATCCTGGCATTTTTAAATGTTAAGAATACTTGAATTAATTACAAAATGAGTGATATATTGTAAATTTCTATTTTTTAGAATTTAGATCTAGGGGCAGATCACTCTAACTGCAGTGTAGAGAGGGTTCTTGAATTAATTTATTTTAAAACGTGTAAAATATATTTTATTAATCAGTGTTTGTTTTACGATGAGCACATTTATGAGACATATGAAGATTTTTATGACACATGTATGAGGAAGTTAACAATCAAGTCTAGACTAAAAACGTCTTAATGGTTTTAATAAACGTGTATTATACTTCAATTGCTGTGAGAAGTAAGGATGGAAGAACAACATACCTTTATTGATATTTTTTGTTGTTTTAACTCTGCTAATAATGTCATATTTGACGAGTTCCGACTTCGCCAATTCGTTGAAAGGATGGGTTGATGTGTCAACCGTGATCGAATTTGTGCTCTTGTTAATTCTGTCCTTACCTGGAATGCAGGTCCAACTAATTTGATTGGACAAAATTCTAAAAGGAAGGGAAAATGAATAATAAGTAAACATGTACTGTAAACCAATTATTATACGCGTCATTTTTTATTCGCGACTCGTTAGAACTAATGGATTTATTTCCGCGAACGAGTGGTCACATTTTTTTATTTCCACGAGTATTTTGGAATCAAATTTAAATTTTATATCCGCCCATAAACTAGGTAAAATGGTAGCGTGAGGTCTGCTTACGCATTATTTAAGATATTCTGTGCATTGCGTCCATTTAAAATCTTATATCCGCCCATAAAGTGCATGAGTAAAATGTTTACCATAAGTATACTTCATACGCATTTTCACAACGCTCAAACGAAAATCGGGAAAAAAATCTAGGAGATTAAAATCAATTTAAAACTCTCAATTGTAAAAGTGCCTTGTACTAACTGGGTAATCGACGCTTTCTAAAATCTACATAGCCAAGGGGCAATTATTATAAATGGTTTGGACAGAGCAGGACTGGGCCATAATTAGCCGTAATGTCTGTAACAATAAATGAACACAAGCTGAAATGATTATTGACATTTTAATCATTTTAAAACTAATAGTTTTAGATTAATTTTGCCTTTCGTTTTTATTTTTTCCGAACTGCTTCTTGTACATGTTGTACACTAACAGTAAAGTTTTTTCCGTTATTACTTGTTGAACCGTCGGGATCGGTATTGAAAAAAGGGCAAATGGTTCGCGACGATAAATATCCGCGAGCAGAGGTTACTCGCGGAACTCGCGGATAATTATCGCACGCGTATAATACTTGGTTTACAGTATATGACGTCATTACATTAATATCACTACAAGCTTTGATATTGTACGCACCGAGTAAGTAAATTCACTTCTCTCCATATTACTTCCAGACTTCAATATGCACTGATAGGTGGCGCTGTCATTGACTGTGACATCATGAATTACCAATGAGACAACGTTTGGCAGATCCACGATGATGTGAAATTTCTGGTTGTTGGTTTCTATTTTCGCTCCGTTTCTTTCCCACGTGACCTTATCAAACCTTCTGTCAATATCATCAATGGTTAATGCTACGTTATTTCCATACTGTCGAACTCTAACAACTGAAAGTAACGAGTAAAACATTTACAAATGATCTTTATAGAAACATTTTCAATATCTCTACAGTCACCTAGTCATATTCTCGCATTATATTTTACCAATGAAAAAGCTGCTGTATACAGAGAACTTTAAGCGCCCGTTATTTTTCTCTCCGATTCTGAAAAATGGGTGAATTCAAAAGGAGACAATTTTGACAAACATTAAACATTTTATCACAATGGTGCCTTTGTGTGAATAAAACGGGGCAAATTATGTTACATGCAGTGTCCCTCTATGGTGGATGTTAACGAATCACTGGGAAAAAAGTCAAAGGAGCCTAGAGATTTAATTTTGCTTCGAAATTAGTTGTACATCCAAGAATAATAAATCAATGAAATAATGCTACAAACGTAAAATTTGAAGGTAATCATTTATGTGAATTAAAGATTAACAGGTATCAATTTCTCACTTATCAAATTAGGGCGTTTTTTTTTTTTATTTAAAACACAATGTGGAACATCCGCAAACAAATTGTGGTGTTATTTTTTTAAATTTCCAAAGACATTCTCATGATTTTTTGATTTTGGTTGATGGTTTTGGATTTTCAAAATCTTGTTGCATTCATCTTCCTTCTTTAAATTGATCATCGTTTGAAACTTTATTAGTAAGGATACAGTGTATGCTTGATATAGTTATTGGTATAAAGAAACACATCGATATATAGTGCAAACTTTTATAAACAGCAAAGCATGACTGTTTACATGTAAGTACTTCATTTCTTAATTTTACCACTTCTTTTGGGAAGAATACGTTATTATTGCTGGAAAAACCATTCAAATTCATTTACATTGCTTTTATAGGAATTAATACTTATAACACCACCGTAGACGTTTCTGTTGGGGTTCTATTGTAATAACTCCGTCTTTCGGTTTGTCTGTCTGTAAATCAGTAAGTCGACAAATTGTCTTTCATTTCCATTAATATTTTAATGATTATCCTATAAAAATCAAATTCGGCATGATGTCTCTAAAGGCAGTTATTTAGGTATACTTTTAGATTCGCTAAATCAATCGGCTATGACATGTGTAAATGGTAAATGTCTTTTCTTTATGAGAACTTTTTTCTACAGTAAACGTTTTGAATATGCAGTGAATCCCCAGGAATTAATTGTGTAACCTTCGTCAGAAGAAACTGAGCCTAATTTATGTGAAAGTAAATCACAATTATGTAAGACGTGTGAGAATGTAGAACACATCGCTTTTATTATGAAATTAAAAATTAATTATGTAGCAACATGAAATAGTGGCGCATTGTGTTTTACTTCTTAACAATACACAGACCAGCTTCACTCATCAAACAGTTAGACTTCCTTCTCAGTGTTTTAATTATGTTGTTGTTCTAAATAAGTACCCTACAACAGGCGGGAATACACAAAATTTGTGTGATTCTTATTCTTACTATTCGATACCATGAACATTTATACAAGTGCTTTTTTAAAAAGATGATTATAAAAATTCAAATTATATATTTTTACTCATAAAAAATAAAAAGAAATATGTTAAAGATAATAAAACCCGTTAAATAGATAACAATATAAGTTGATGATTGTTAATAAGAATTTAAACGGCTGCCAAAATTTAACATTTTATGAATTGATTCTATTAACACATTGGTGGCACTAAAAGTATCGTAAAGGACACCTTGCCACGTCAATGCCCCTCGTTCCCGTACATATTTCAAGATTTTAAAAGCAAGATTATGACTTGGATTGATAGGTTGTAGTAGCACAATTAAAGCTGAATATAACATTATCTTAAACATTTTTTGCTGAAAATGAAATCTTCTACAGAATTAGATACTATTGAGAATACACTTACCGTATTTTGGTAATAGGGGTAGTCTTTCGTAGACCTCCCCATTGCTTCCTCGTCTGGACTGTAGGCAGAACATCTTAATCCACACCCTGAGCTTATTAGAATAATCAGGAGCAATAACTGAGGGTGATCTCATTAACAGGAAAACAACCTTACTCGATAGACTGAACTCATTAGAATGAGCAGGAGCAATAGTAAATAGCTATCCCAACCTCAGGAAAACATCTTTCCAGATTTCCTGCTTTGTCAATGGATACCTCATTCAATTCGTCATACAGCGCGTCAATGTAATTGTTTTACACTTTCAAATTGATACAATGATACACTATCTAGTCATGTGTGATATTTTCGTTTAAATAAAAACGGGGTTATTCTGGGGAATTCAGTTTTATTTTGTTATATTGACGTATAAGTGATGAAAACAAAGATATATGATTTGGAAATCAATGTTCGTATTACAAAGGTGAAATCATTTTTCTATGAATTTTTCTTTTTTCAAAATTGTTATTTTTAGCTGTTTTTTTTACTTATAATCATGCGTTTAATTTAACATGTATAAGGATTTGGGATCCATGCATTGCTAGGGCTTGTACTAGCTGCAGACACTTCGTATTATGCTGGAGGTGTAGCACCTAATGACGGCCTCAAAATTTAATATTTTTTGGAATTTATATATCATTATAACTCATTTCCGTATCGAACCCAAAATGCTCAGAGCATTGTTTCGTATGATCTTTAAAGAAATTACCCCTACCCCTTGCCTCTTAGATATAGACCCCTGGGCCTCTACGACTTTTTCCTCATAAATCATCTTTTATCTTTTAATGACATATTTGTGATAATATCTATACCAACAATTCGAAATATCAAACACTGAATATAAAATATACCCTACTCTATACATATGAATCATTTATATGTAATTGCATATATAATGTAAATAATTATGTAATATATGTAACATAAGAATGATAGAATATGTATAAATTTCCGCCGTTAAATAATTTTCCACCATTAAAATTTCCATACAGTCGTTTTGCCAGTTCCGAATTTTGATATTTTCCGAAAAATAATTAATACATGTAGTTAGTAAGAGCTAAGTATCAATACATTTAAAATTGTAAAAATATATTGATTCCTATTGTAAAAACGTTTATTAATGAGTGTTTGAATTATGTGAAGTTTTGATTTTTTGCCGTCAGTTCCAACTTCGGTTTCGTTATCGTACTTGAAAGAATCGGCATACTTTTACAATGCAAGAAATCAGAATGACTGCGACGCATAACTCTGCAGAGAAAAAATAAGATTTCATGATATTTTCATAGATTTTTATTACATTGTGCCATTAAAATTGTACATGTGACCTCTAATTTGACTTTTTGAGTTGACACTCATTTCGGGTCTCCCAGAGCGAAACATGGACTTTGTCATAATAATCACATAGAAAGCTTTGGGTATCATTAAAGTGAGCTCACAATACCCCTAGTTTCTCTTTATCCTTTGGAAATACAAATAACTTATTTTCAGCAAATAATTTAATACTTTTCTTAGGGATGCCAATGGATAATTTGTGGGCGTATATTTTATGATTTAGAGTTGAATTGAAAGGGCACCGCTAGGGTATACGGAATTCGTCGGCTTATTCGTAACTGGTGAAACGGATACTTATGTTAACTTTCGAAATAATTCTTTTTAGAAAAGACTGAATTTTTATGAAACAATATTTAATTCCACAAGTCATTTAACTACCTTGACAAAACAGTTAGATTTTGAAATAATGCCTCGTGTATTTATAGCACCGCTGAATCCGTTTCTTATTCGGAAATGGTCAAATAACTGTATCTTTGTTCTAATACTGATGATGTGGTAGCGTTATATACAATGCTTCCTACTTACATCGATCCCCAGCAGAGGCAGATAAATGCCTATATTAATACAATTATCAGGTATTTTAATACATAAGCTCTTAGATTGACAACGCGAGCTTTCAATATCTTGGTTGGAGACATACAGTGAATGAATATACCGCAATCAAAATGGCCAAAGTTAACTAGTGTCACAATCGAAGTTGATTTTGTTATATGTTTATTTGTTTTTCTTTTATTAGTATTGCCCTGTGTTGACCCTTATTTGTATTTAGCGTTTAACCTGCAAGGAATCCCATTGTGACGCTAAGGTGATTTTAATATTGGGCCACTCGCTATATAAGTTAATGTCAGGTTTGTTTTGGGTAGCGCACGTTTTCCTTGACCAGTGAAAGTAGTTTCACATGTCCGTGGAGGGTTAGGTAGTTTTATTCGTGGTAACTGAATCTCCAATCAAGGTAAGTGCAATTTATTTACATTTATTATATTGAAAAGTAGTGCAGTGTTATGTTAATTTAGCTTATTCTATTTTTATCCACGAGAAAGTGTTCGAATTGTATACGGTAATTTTATCACGTGCACATGCCTTGAGATTAAGCGTAAAGTAAAGATATTAGTTTAATACTGAGAGTGTAACAATACATTATTTTGCTTTGCCGTACGAAACGGTGTGATACATAATAGTTAAAACTGTTTGAACAAGTTGAACAATTATAATTATGTGTAAGCATTTATAATGTGTTGTAAGGCAGTCCTTTAGGGGTCAAGCTGTTTTATGTCTACGCATATTTGATGAAGGTTCCTGTACATATTTATGCATGCGTGTGGTTACACGATGGTTTGGTGCTGTCGGCGGTGGCAACCTAGAAGACTACACAAGGGCGTGGTACGCTAGGCCGAGACCGTGCGTGGGGAAATGTGGTCTCTTGGATTTAATCAGCACTGTAGACGCTTAAGACGCCTTGGATTGCGTGGGACGTCGCGGACGTTGTGGCATCCAGTGCAAGGGCGTGGTACCGTATGACATGGGCAAGGATCATCGCAGGGGGGATAAGGAAGCATACAAAATATTCTACCCTGACTTAATCAGTGCTACATTATGACGTCATAGTAGGGGAGATGACGTCAATTTTAAAACACAAATTTTCGTAATATTGGTATTTAGAGATGTAATTAAACTCTAAAAAATGAATAGAAACTTGTAAACATTAACAAAAATAAAATGCCCTTATTTTGTAATGCTGTATTCTGTCATGTTGATTAAAATCTACCACCGATGACGTCATATGTGTACATCAAGTAACTTGGGAATTGATCATGCCGTGTAAAGAGAATTTGGCTATTACGGCATGTACAAAGATACGTAAAATGGAGTTAAACAGCAAATATTGTTAATATTTTGTGACATTCATATGGAGTTCAGTTAATAAAACGGATATGCTTAATTATTGTCATTTATTTTATTCTCTTTCAAAGACAGCCAGCCCGATCAGCCTTTCCTCTTTCATTTGAGACAAAAAATTGCAACAGAACAACACTAAGCTGTATATTTCAAAACTTAAGATTTGTAAATATGGAAAGTTTGCCTCCTAAATTAGTTGGAAAGTTCTATAAAAATAGAGTAATTGGTATCGTTCCTGGTTCTTTCAGAATTTCATTAGAATTTCTTAGAAATAAAAAGTTAAGCATGGTTTTTTTTGAAAAATAAGGGTTCATATGTAAAAAATTCAAAACACCGGGTAAGATTTCGTGCGAATGTGTGGAATAATTATTTTACTAACGGGACAATTGGATTCTAGCAGCACTTTTTAGACAAAACAGATGTTTCTCAACAACATTATTTACTCAAAGAAATTATCAAACTCCGGGGTATTGTTGTTCTGTTAGCTTTTTTATTAAGGAAAATTTCGCTATTAATAGAAGTCACGTGATACCGTGGTGGGGGTGCATGTCATTGCGTTAAACATTCTTTTATCTTTATGCATTAGCTAATAATAGTTTACGTTAATCAGCGGTTTTGGTAAATTATAACACTTAATTTTCCTTAAAAAGTCTAAATTTCCCGAAAAATGACTTATATGCTTCCTTAACATACCCGTGGATTGGACTTGGACGGCTTTGGAACGTGGTCCAAGATGAACGCAAATAGACATTTTGAAATTATTCTTTAATTTTCATTTTGTATATTTGTACATATTTGTTTTCATATAAAATTGTAAAAACAACAACAATCGTGTTCGCACTGATCAAGCTTAGGGTGTCGTGACAACTAGTAAGAGCTTGATCATGTTGATAGTATTGGAGAATAATTGATAAAAAAGAATCCTTTCATATAGAATCAAGTGTGACCCTTTATCCGTCTTGTTAGTGACATCATTATTACATACAGTTACATTGTAGTAAATTTTAATCGGGCTCAAGATTCCAGAATTACTAATGAGCGGTTGTCAAGTGTAAAGAAGTATTCGGTTGCCTTTTAGATCTCACAGAATAGAACCTTGATCATATCTTAGAAAGCTTTCCAACTCGCTGATTCATTTGCTTTGGTGAGACATGTTTTTTATTGTATGATATCTGTCTATATTCATATTAATACAGCAAGACTATTTTTGGACAGAATGTAGTATTGTGTACAAATTATCCATATACAGAAAGCACCCTGATTTCATTTATAAGTTTTCCTCTTCTTACAAACAATTGTTTCTGTCCTATTCCTGAAACATTTTGTTAAAATTCTTAAATTAGGCTTTCTTTTCTTGTAAATATTAAATTACTGTAATGAACATGACCTCTAACAAAAACCGATAAAAATAAAACAGATAAGATCCTCAGTAGTAAAACGAAAGTAGAATTGTAAACATAAGGAATTCCATGTACGACAGCTTACTGCCAACTGCTCGTGGCGTACTGCGAACTTCCACACATATAGTACTGTATTTGACTGAATTTATTTAAAATATTGATATTTATCATGTTCATAGGAATTTGGAATAAAAGGCCATTTTGATTATTTTTGAGTATATCTGATATAAATGCATAAACTATCAAATCAATATATGTTGATATCCGGCAAAGAAATAATATTTTGTTATTTATACCTTTTTATTTTATTTTTTGACATACATGCATGTACAAGGGTTGTCCCAAAAAGTCGTAGACCGGGAACACAGTTTATTTTCTCTTAGTTTAATCAAATTTCTTTTCTTGTCATAGCAAAGAGTAACATTTTATGAGCATGTATTTCAAGTTTCATGACAGTACCACATTAAAAACAATGAAAAAATAAAGAAACCATGTAAGTGTACATGGGTGCGAATTTATGTCTCTCATAACATTATGGTCCCTTTTTCTGCTTCACATGAGGCTATTAATATCCAAATTAATCCACATGACCTAAGGGTGTGTTATGACCTTGACACAAGGTCATTTGGGGAAGTTCAAGGTCACTGGAAGAAAAATTTAATAAATATATCAGGGCCATATCATTTTATTCTCAGGTCTGTGTTTAATTTCACACAAAGATTACTTATAACATAAGGATGTTTCATGACCCTGACACAAGGTAATTTGGGAAATATATCAAGGCCACTGGAAGAAAAATTTCATAATTCGTGTCAAGTCCCTATCTTTCTTATGGATAAATTTAGTAGGTTCTAATTTCAATCAATGATTGCTCCTAACATAATGGTGTGTCATGTCCTTGACCAAGGTCATTTGGGGAAGTTCAAGGTCACTGGAAGAAAAAATTCATAATTCTTGTCTGGTCCTTATCTTTCTAATGGATAAACTTGTTAGGTTCTCATTTCATGCAAAGATTCCTCCTAACATAAGGATGTGTCATGAGCTCAGGTTAAGGTCATTTGGGGAAGTTTAAGGTCACTGGAAGAAAAACTCATAATACGTGTCTGATGCACATCTTTCTTAGGGATAAACTTGGCAGGTCCTCATTTCACACAAAGATTCCGGTTGTCCTAAGGATGTGTCATGAGCTTGGGTTAAGGTCATTTGGGGAAGTTCAAGGTCACTGGAAGAAATTTTTTTATAGTTTGTGTCTGGTTCATATCTTTCTTTATTATGGAAAATCTTGAATCTACTACTGCACAAAAAATTGCTTAAGACCTGAGATTGTGTCATAACTTTTAACCAAGTTCATTAATGCAAGTTCAAGGTCACTGATAGAAAAAGTTAATAATTCGTGTCTGGTCCGTATTTTTGTCTATTTTTTTTATTAGGCTGCACCTTCGTTTCTTTTTAAAAAAAAATATAATGAACAATTACACCTGCACTAAAAATGCTTCAGCATCTCTCTTCTATTAGATCCATAAAACATTCAGGATTAAGCACTTCTGAAAAACCCAAGCTGGGTATTTTGTCCCCTTTGAACAGTTCTAGTTTTAAATTAAAGTTATTAATTTAAAATAATTTATATAAGGCAATGTGAGATATTTGAGCTATATTATAAAGGATTTATTGAACTTATAATGGTGATTATCAGCACTCGTTGGCTGTATAAATGCACATGCACACCCGTATATTTGTATAGAGAACTCATGCCAATATTCACCAATGACAGCTCAATACTCCTATATTATCTGTATTTATTTCATATGATATACTTATTTGTTTATCTAATTAATAATTTTTTGTTATAGAAAAATTTTTAGATATTGGGGAGAATTGATATGACACCCGTACCCCCACCCCCGCACTCCTGATAAAAATTCCTGGGATTCGTGTGCTTAATTGCTCCGCTTTCAAAGAGGTAGGTTCAATTACTCCATTAGCCATGTCATTATACCAATTAACTGACCAAGGACCTACGTCCCATTTCTTTTGAAATAGTTCTAACATTATATAGTTAAGCATTTAAATCATACGTTGGGGGGGGGGTTCAAAATATAAAAAAATGGCTTAGAATTTTAGCTTTATTTAAGGAAATTTTAGGAAAATGACACTATGACGTCATAATACAGTGATGAGAGGAAAAAATTAAGTCAATTTTATTTGATATGAAGACATCAATGGTCCATGAAAAATTTTACATATTTTCAACTAAAAATGAGCAGTTCTGATTTTTTTTTCAGAACTTCACAGAGCCAAAAGAGGCAAAAAGTGAACCTTGCTCTTTATTAATCTTCACTTGTTATTCCTAGAATAGCTACTTTTTATCCAGCACATTGTAACAGGAATCCATAACAATTAATGAAATAGTTTTCAGTTTCATATTTCTGAATAACCGTGTCAATAAAATTTAGGATCACTTAGATGGCAAATTATTTTTATGCGCATATAAATTGCCTCTTTAAAGATTGATTTATCGGCCTATTTGAAAAAAAGAAAAGGAATTGGTTTCTTGAAAACTGAAAAAATATTATGTTTTCTAGGTATTACAAACATCGGTTACCAGAGAAAAAAATTGCAAGTTAATAATAGGTACGAAAAAAAGATGAAAAGAAACCGAAGAATAACAAGAAGGTCTTCCGCTGAAGACGGGAGACCTTAATAATAAAAGTGAAAAAGAAACTTAAGAATAACAAGAAGGTCTTCCGCTGAAGACGGAAGACCTTAACAAGAAATCTTCCGCTGAAGACGGAAGACCTTATCATGAGGGTCTTCCGCTGAAGACGCTAGCTGTGGCACAAGATTACGCGGACAGAAAAGATTGCTGCTTTAACTGATTGGTGTATAATGAGAAGTTGTTTAATAAAAAATATTCTACACTTGCTTTCTGTTTTATACAGTGTGTATGTATCAGGAAATAATATGTAATTCATGTCTACAAGAAGATTTGTGTGATTTATTACTCCCCTTGCAAAGAGGTAGGTTCACTATCATCATAAAATGGCCCCGTCTTTATACCAATTAACTGTCCAAGTCCTTACGTCCCATTTCGAACATCAACATAATGTGGATCCTTAGTGCTTTCATTTCCTAAAAAAATCTTGAGAGAGTCAACATTATTTTGTGTTTTTGTATAATTTATCTGCATAGAAGGCATATTCAATTTGATTAGATGATTTTGTATGAAAATGATATTTCCTTTTTTAATGTTTTCATTTTAATTTCTTTTCAGGAAATTGATTTCTTAGAGACCTAGAAATTCGACTACATGGCATTGAAAAGTTTTAGCACTCAGTGTAAGCAACGGCAGTGTTTTCAGTGTAAGGGGGACACAGAATTCTACTGTAAAACTTGTGATTATGAATTATGTCTACAGTGCAAAGAGAGACACATTAATTTATACATCAAAGACCATGATCTTGTGCTGTACCGTGAGAAATACCAAAGTCTAACAAAGCAAGAAAGCTGTGAGAGACATCCAGACAAATTATATGATAGATACTGTCTTTCATGTGAAGTCCCTGTCTGTGTTAAATGCAAAGTATACAGAAATCTCAAAATGTTACCTTTTTCATTCCTGTTGAATAAACACAGAAAACACGAAATGCTGGATCTAAGTACAGCCTATGAAACAAACCGTCGAAAATACAGAGGAATCATCCACAAAATGAGAAGTGACATAATCTACAACAGCTGTCATCATCTGACAAGAATAAAAACTGATTTGAAATTTTTTCACACCTGCAACATTCAATCAGAGATGTCGGTGAAAGCCCGTAGACTGAAGAATCTCATTGATAATGATGTGAAAAGTAGGATTAAAAGTTTAAAGATTCAAAAACCGCAAATATATGAAAAACAGATCCGTAAATTGAAAAGACACATCTATAGAACAGAAAACTATGAATATAAATTTGAACAGTCAGTATACAAACCTATTAAATTTCTCTTATTTCTTAAGAAAACCACTGTCCCAAAACCAAAACAAAATCCTTTTCTTACCCATCATTTTATACTCTCTCTGACTGAGAAAATAAACAGGAAAGATGTGATTACATTATTGAGTGAAATCCAGCTTACAGAAACAGAAAAAAGACAGGTAGGAATTGACTCTGTGTTGAAGCTGATGTTTACACCTGTATTGCATAAATCTATGACAGTATTAAGTCTTGATGAAATAAGACACATTTCCCGTGAATCTTCAGACCGACTCTGGATCAGTGACAGGAACAATATCGTCCTTATCAACACAGCGGATGATAACATTCATCAACAGGAAGAAATAGGTACTTCGTTTGGAGGGCACACAGTGGACATTAAAGGTGATCTTATTTATATAGACAGGAATTTGAACATAATCAAGCTATCACAAGATAACAGATCAAAGTCTATACTAATAAAACAAACAGAAAATTGGATACCACTCTGTGTCTTCTGCTCCCCCTCCACTGGACTGCTGGTTGGTCTGCGAGATGTTCGACAAACAGGTAAGGTAGTCCGTTACGATTACAAAGGAAAACACATACATACCATACAACACGACGATAAAGGTCAGGCAATGTATGGAGATCCTTACTACATCACAGAGAACCGCAACGGAGATGTTGTTGTGTCTGACTGGCCCCATGCTGTAGTGGTGACAGATCGTGGAGGAAGACATCGCTTCTACTACAGAGGACACCCTCCATCGTCAGGAATATTACCACAAGGAATTTGTACAGGCGCAATGTCAAACATTCTTGTGTGTGATGCTCTTACCGACGCAGTACATATGATTGACCAGGATGGTCACTTTTTGTCACTGATACTTAATCAGCAGTTACAAGGGATAAACCCACCATGGAGCCTGAGTTATGACAAACACACTTGTCTTCTCTGGGTTGGATATAGGACCAACAACCGATTTTGTGTTTACAGGTACATAAACGGACAGGACTACTTACCAGGTAATTCTGAAAGATAACCGTAAAACAGGTCAAAGATACATAAACACATAAACACATATGATCATCAGATAAGTAACTGCCCAGCTAGCACAAAACATTTTTATAAATGTTCTTAAAACATTTTCAAAATGTTGCGAAAAAAGTGTGCCAATCCTTATCTAATGCTTCAGATTTAAATTCTGGGAGTGGATCACAAATTTAATTTAAATGACAAAAACAGTATTATTATATGTTTTTTTTTCATTTACTTATTTTTAATTTGTTTGTTTGTGTATTCTTTCACTTATTGATTTCTGGCGGATCTTTTATATCATCAAAGAGCTTTATACATGTCTGTTTATGATTGATTGATTGATTGTATACTGTTTAACGTCCCACTCCAGAATATTTCACTGATATGGAGACATCACCATTGCCGGTGAAGACCTGCAAATTTAGGCCTATGCTCGGCACTCAGGGCCTTTGAGCAGGGAGGGATCTTTATCGTGCCACACCTGCTGTGACACGGGACCTCGGTTTATACGGTCTCATCCGAAGGACCGCCCCATTAAGTAGCCTTTTACGACAAGCAAGGGGGTATTGAGGACCTATTCTAACCCGGATCTCCACGGGGACATGTCTGTTTAATCAATAAGCCAAAAATAGAAAAAAAATCGTTTAATTAAAAATAACAATTCCTCATAACACTATTCTTTCTATACATTTTTTTTCTTCACAAACTCAATTTTAGGAAAATTGCAATTATACATTATTTGAATGTTTTAAGAACACTTTGAAAGTAACATTACAAAATGTCGCAGCAATGAAAAGTGAAAATGAAGTCGTTCATTTTCACAAAATACTCTTAAAATTACTAAATGAATTAAATTGCGCCGCAATTATATAAATGTTTAAGAAACAAAAATAAATTTGAAAATGTTTCCAAAAAATGTTGCAAAAAGTATAATTGAATTGTTTAAAGATACACCAAAGGCTTTTTTCAAGATTTTTGTCAATTTTGAGATTTTTGGCTAAGAAAACAATGCTAATCACTGCTTTATAATGCATGAAAAATTCTTGCTGATTATCAAATGGTTTTCGAACTATTTAACAATATTCAAATATAAACACTAACACATGTGAATTTGCCGTTATTGAAGCTTCTGATATGTTCTGTAACTGCCTGCTTTTGAAAGGAGCAATAAATCACTGTGACCACTTGGGGAATTCTTCCCTAGCCAAACAGAGGCTATTAGTTATTAAACTACAGGGACTCTAGATTTAGGGAAGGAGATCCAACAGTGACCATGAAATAGGAGGTGGAGCAAAGCTCTTGCCATTTTGCCGGGAAATCTTTCTGATTCAGAATTGAATCTATTTTACTTCATTAAAAGCACCTAAATAAAGAATAGAAACCTCCCATTCTTGTGAATATTCATAGGAAATATGGATAAGTGACAGTATCCAAAGCTGAATCTCCAAGATGTCACATATTTCTAGCTTTGGCAGACTTTGTTGTGTAATGGGTTTTTGTCCTCTACTGTAAAGTAAGATCAGACAGTTGATGGTATTATGTCAAAGGATTCAGCTCCCTTATTTATTGACCAATTTCTCTGAAAACTGGCCAGAATGTGTCTCAAATGTTGAATATGAATAATGTTTAAATAAGATAAAAATGAAAATTTAAATTAAGAACATTCAATAGTAAATTTAACAAACTTTCCAATGATATATACTTTTAATATGTCATCTTTGTTAATGAAAGAACTACAAAGAAATTAAATTTTGCCCTGTGGAAACCATTGGTGTATCCTTAAGTTGTAGTAAAAAGAATTATTATATTTAATGTTTTAAATGAACATTTTCACTGCCTTGGCTGAACAATAGCCGGAATTGAATGCTTAACTAAAAGCGATATAAAGAATACTGAAAGTTAACGCTTTGCAAAATCCAAAAATTTCTAAAATTTTATCTAATTATAATCATTCAACTGTATCAAAAGCTTTTTTCAAAATCAACAAAAAAGATAAGTCTATCTAGAAATATTCTCAATACTTGTCTAATGTCTAGTCAATCAAATCTGTAATAGCTTTTATATTTATGTTCAATGTAACGTGTTTTATCAACATCAACTATTTAAGGCAGTATTTTTTTTTAACTTTACTTGCGAGAATTTTAGCTAATATTTTTAAAATCAAAATTAAGTACTGATATTGGTCTTTGATTCTTTAATAAAGCTCGATCTTTATCTTTTTAAGGAACAAAATTTATGATTTCTTTTTCTTTGTTCTGAAGAAAGAGATATTAACTGAGTGGTTTCATTTAAACTATTTACCACTATGTCTGCTATTTCGGGCAATTCAAACAGAAGTCTATCACTTCTTCTTATTTGATTTGATTTCTTTTACGATAATTTTGCATTTATTTTGACTTATTAAACTCACATAAAGATTCTTTTGTATATTTAAAGTACATTTTTTGATTATTTTCACCGTTCACAAAATGACTAATGGAAAGATATGGAGATAACGAACAGTATTAAATCTCAAAGTTTATAAAACAATATAATATAGGAGCAAGGCAAACACGGACCATCAGCTTAAGTGGGATCAGGTGCCATGGAGGAGTGAGCTTCCCCTGCTGACCAGTCACACCTGCCGTGTGCTCATTCTCATGATTGGGAAATAACGGAAAAATCCGTCGTCAATTCAGTGTATAAATAATGGACTAACAATTGGTATGAAAAGCGGCCGTCAGCTCAGTGGCTCAGTGGTAAATTGTATTTGATGACAATGTCTCTGTATCAATCATACGAAATGACTTCATACGAGACTACTTATATTCTTGTTTCATCAACTTGCTTGTCAATAATTCACCTCTTTTTAGAATTTGTTCATACGTAGAGCATGTTCTTGCGTATCGAATCAACTAAGATATGCACACTCCGTATAAGGTGATGTAGGTATATTGCTGCATAAGTGAGGGAAGTTGACGATAGAAAAGTTAAAGTCGTAACGTTTATCATATAACTTGGTTGTTAAGATACCATTAACGTCTTTTTCAAATAAATTATCCAAGTATGAAAGAGATGTCTTAGACTATGTTGTATCTAGATTTGTTATCTCAAGCTCTCCTGGATATATCGTAACGACGTAGGAATGGAAATCACCATAATGATTGTTAATTGACAATACGTCGTGAATATGTTAAAATGTTATTTATAATTATTTTATATTCTTATTAAGTTATTAGTCCCCTACCGGTGAAACCGAAGGGTAGGGGGGACTATAGGTTTCCTCTGCGTCCGTCCGTCCGTTCGTCTGTCCGTCCGTCCGTCTGTCTGTCTGTCCGTCTGTCTGGTCCCGTCAGTCTGTCCCACTTGGTTTTCCGCACTTTTTTTCTAAACGCTTGCAGATATTGAGCTGAATTTGGTATGTGAGTGTATTTTAATGAGTTACAGATCAAGTTTGAATTTCGCTTCGCTTCATTGATTTTTGACAGAATTATGGCATTTTGAATATTTTCCTAATCGCTAAATTAAGATCGGGTTCGAACTGCGCTAACTTCCGATTGTCGACAATAATACACTCGGACTTCCTCGGACGACTCGTACCTCGCACATAACCTCGGACGTCAACGGTGATCTACCATCTTGCTGATTCAGTCATGTGATCTTATTTGAATTTCTTTCAAATGTCATACATTTGAAATCAGAGTTATTTTGTGGCACACTCAACAGTTTTTTCTTGCTTTCAAAGCCTGTTAACATGAGGGTGTAATCAAAACCTGCTTACGATAAGGAATTGCATAAATTAAGAAACGTTTTCGAAGAACGTTATTCAGAGCGAAATATGAAATGAGTGATAAGGCAGTTTCCGGGGGAGAAATATAAGGATCTGTTGCGTATTCCTCCACCAATCACATCCGAGGTTTGAATGGAGCGTAGCGGAGTCAGCCGAGGATTGCCGATTGACAATAATATGAAGCGAGGAAAAGACGGTGGAGAAATGAGTTGAATTTTCGTCTTACTGTGGATTATTTTATTAGTTTTAATGCATTTACAACTTGAAAATTTTTCAATTTTACCTTGGACTGGACTTTTGCTTATTATAAAATGACATCCTGAAGAAAAAGGGGAACCCGGTAGGGGACATGAATTGCTTATGCAATACCCTCAGAATGCTTGTTTAAATAGAGATTGTTAAAGAAACTTTCTTTTTCCTTGTGCATTTCATTTTTATCGCATATAATTTTATCATTAACTACTGATTCTCTCATTTTGTTTTTGTTTTTTTCTGAAAACAAAATGTAGATTTTTCTCCCTCTTCATACAATTTTGCTTGAGATCTCATAGACTCAGCACTTTAAAATAATAGTTGCGGGTCCTTACGGTGAGAACACAAAGCTTAACACTACTCGTAAAAAGGCATAGTCCGCCATATTTCCCGTTCATGAACGCTATCCCAACAACCCCTACATAAAAAGTAGATCTATTAACAGTTAAAGGGGCGTAGCAACAGGGAGGCCAGGAGGGCCTGCCCCCCTCCACTTTTTTCCCCAACTTTCAAACTTTTTCAGGTAAGTAAATAAGTAAAAAAAATGTTTTCTCCGGCCGCCCCCCCCCCTCTTTCAAAAACAATGCTACGCCACTGAGTTAAAGTTATTTTTTGTTGTGGTCAGGCAAATGTAGACGTACATCGTACTTTGCCATTCTACTCGGTAGCGATGAGAATATGAAATTGTACGCATTATTTTCCAAAACACGAAAAAAGTATCATGAAAAATACAGGTCAATACATTATTCACAAATAAGGAATGCACATAAAAACAAGGAATAAATGCAAAAAAATGTAAGACCTCGAAAGAAATACTATACGAGTTTCGAGTGCAATCGGGTGTAGCGGAATCGAAAGGTTCACATACCCGTCTAGTGGTGTCCAGCTTTAAAAACCGAGGCTCCGTATAATGGCAGACCTTGGCACGATAGATATCACGCACTGCTAAATGCCCTGAGTAGCAAG